GAGCTGCCCCACAGGGTTTCCAAGGAGCAGCTGGTGGGTTTGAACTGCCGACCTTTTGGTTAGCAGCCAAGCTCTTAACCTCTTTGCCACCAGGGTTCCTCCATAAAGATTACAGCCTAGAAAACCCTATGGGGGAAGTTTCAGTCTGTCACATGGGGTCACCATGAGTCAGAATCAACTTGATGGCACTTAACAACAAGATGTGTAAAGAAAGGTCCCTGGGTAGCAAAAGTGGTTTGCACTTAACTAGTGGTGCGGTGGTTAAGAGATTGGCTGCTAACTAAAAGGTCGGTAGTTCGAATCCACCACCTGCTCCTTGGAAACCCTATGGGGGCAGTTCTACTCTGTCCTACAGGGTCACTATGAGTCAGAATCGCCTCGACGACAATAGGTTTGATTTTTTTTTTTTAACTAATCTAAAGGTGGAAACCCTGCTGGTGTAGTGGCTAAGCATATGGCTGCTAACCAGAAGGTCGGCAGTTCGAATCCACCAGGTACCTCTCAGAAACCCTATGGAGCAGTTGTACTCTGTCCTATAGGGTCACTATGAGTTGGAATTGACTTGATGGCAACAAATTTGTTTGTTTTTTACTAACCTACAGGTTGGCAGTTTTCGAACCCACCCAGTGGCACTTGGGAGGAAAGCCCTGGCGATCTGCTTCCGTAAAGAAAACCCTACAGAGTTTAGTTCTACCCTGTAACACATGGGGTCGCCATGAATTGGAATCGGCTCAACTGCAACAGGTACATACAAATAAATGTATTTTTATGTATTTCTTATATTTTATATACTCCTACATTATATTTATTTATATATCTATTATTACATTTACTTAGACTTTCCTGCCCACCTCTGTATGCTGGCGGTGATGTGGGTGGTGTCACCGGGTGGGATGGGAGCGGCATGGGGTGGGGGACAGCATGGCTTGGGGGAGAGTAGCTCTCCCAGGCAACTGTGTGTGAGTGGAGGGAGGTGCAGGGGACATGTTACCTGTTAAATCAACTTTGGACCCCATGTTAAAAGACAAGTCTCATTTCTCGCAGGGAGACTAGAGAAGCATTTTGAGTTTTTTAAATAAAGCTGATTTTTTTCAGTATTTGAAAAAAAAACCACCCCATTTCATTCCCCGAAGACAACAATTTTGATGGCTCTCCCTTCTGCCGTCTTTTCTGTATTTTGCTATTTTATTTTTATTGGATTCTGTACAGTTGTAATGCAACGCTATTTATAATTACATCGCCTGCTTTTTTCACATCTTCACTTAACATTAAAATCCCAGTGTTGCCCCATAAACGTGTTTCTAAGACTTCATAAACCCCCAGAATGGAGGTGCCATCCCCCGGCGGGCTGCTGGCTCCCTGGCTGCGGACAGTTACATTGTTGCCCAAACTTTCTCACACTATAAATGAGGCCACCACCTCAGCAACACTCATGAAACTGTTTGCAAAGCTAAGATTCTTCTCTGCAGACAGATCCCCAGGACAGAAAGCACCAGGCTGGGGGCGAGACCACGTCTAGGATTCCCACGCATGCGGCAGCCTGCCTCCCCTGGGGCCGCTCTGCTCACGGTCCCCCCGGGCCTAGAGCAGGAACTTCAGACTCCAGCCAATGTACAGACGGGAAACTGAGGCCCAACTTGTCCAGGATGGAGCTGGCTGGAGACACATGGCACTTCTCTCGTTTCACACCTAGATTCGAGGTGTGTGTCACAGAGTACCCTGGGGGCCCAAACTACCTTCCCCCCTTCGTCTTCCCTTTCCCAGCCCCTCCCTCCCTTCCTACAACAAGCACTTATAAGCCAAAAGCAAACAGACCGTTGCCGTTGAGTGGATCCCAACTCACGGCGACCTGTATCACAGAGCAGAACTGCCCTGTAGGGTTTTCTTGGCTGGAATCTTAATGCGTTGCTATGAGTCGGAATCAACTCGACGGCAATGGGTTTGGTTTGGGTTTGGTTGATCTTAATGGAGGCGCCCTGGTGGTGCTCAGCTGCTAACTGAAAGGTCAGTGGATCAAACTTACCAGCCGCTCCACAGGAGAAAAGACCTAGCAATCTGTTCCTGTAAAGATTACAGTCTAGAAAACTCTATGGGGCAGATCTACTCTGTCCTATAGGGTTGCTATGAGTCGAAATCGACTCCATAGCACACAACAACAACAATCTTAATGGAAGCAGATCACCAGGCCTTTCTTCCACAGTGCTGTTGGGTGGGTTCGAACCGCCAGCCCTTAGGTTAGTAGTTGAGCTCAAACCACCTGTGCCACCAGGGACCTCCAAGTGCTGATAAAGCCACAGAGCTGGACTGGGCTGCTCCCCACCGCCCCCCTCGAACAGCGCCCTTGGCCTCAGCCCCAGGGCGAGGTCTTTGCAGAGAGTTTTGCTCAGTCCCTCTGCCTGGATGCCCAGCTCTGTCCACCTTGTCAAAGTGTCCCCTCCTTGAAGGTTCATCCCAGACTCCCCTACCTCCGTGAGGCCTTCCCGATTCCAGCCGCCCCTCCCCCTCAAGGTGCCCGTCTCCCATTTCTTTGTACTTCATGGAGGCGGGAAGGGAAACAAGCTCTCCTTCTAAGTTCTGGGCACCGGGCCAGGCAGTCCTCCCGTCCATCAGCATTACATCTAACTTACAGATGGGGAAACTGAGGCTCAGAGACTCAAGTCTGTCCCCACCTCCCAGCCCAGGGGCTTATTCTAGCCTACTGCATGCCAGGCTCTGGGCACAGGAATGGGGTGCTGGTCCCCATCCTCAAGTAAGTTGTAAACTCATCAAGGACACAGCTCCAACTTCTCCTTTGTGTCTTCCCCACCCACCCCTGAAAGTCCAGCCCCAGACCCTGCACACAGCAAACCAACTCCTAGTGACCCGAGTGGACAGAGCACAATGGCTCCATAGGGTTTCCAAGGCTGTAAATCTTTACAGAAGCACACTGCCACATCTTTCTCCCGAGGAGCAGCTGGTGGGTTTGAACCGCCGACCTTTCGGTTAGCTGCCGAGCGCTTCAGCCACTGCGCCACCAGGGCTCCAACACATACCTACATACAGCCTCAAATTTCGGTCATCTCTGCTAGTGGAGAGGGGTCTTATGGGAAATTCAAAGAGCATTACGATTTGGCTTTAGGCTGCCCAATATGATGCCGTTCGCAGCGAATCTGCCTTCCTGATTATGTTCTCCTAGAGGCTAAACAAAGCAAATTTGCTTTTCCCGAGCACACAGCAGCCATGAGGGCAAGGTGACAGCCCAGAAGCTTCCAGAAGGGCAGAAGGACGACAGTGGGGGGCCTTGTCTTTTTAAGCTACAGATCCTTCCCAAGCACAGAACCCAAAGGCAGGTAACAGGATCTGCTGGCAAGCAGGGTCCCCATGACTGTCACCTGCGTAGCCCCACCTGTCCACAGCGTGCTGGGTTAGGCTGGGGAGGGGGCTGGAGCGTTTGTGCCGGGGGAGGTGTGCGCAAGCCGGCTCCCCATGCTCTGGACACGCCCACCATGCCTCTACCCAAAGCCAGAGGCAACAGTGTCCCTGAAATGCAGGGCTCTGCCTGTGGATTTGATGGCTCTGCTGCTTGTGATGGATGGTAGCTATTACCCAGGATGGAGCTGGGAGGGGGCGAGGGCTCCCCACCCTGGGCTCCCTCCTTCCCCCGGGAGGAGATGAAGGGCAGGGCAGGGCAGGGGAGGGAGGGGCAGCCAGGACTGGAAAAAGCAGAGAGAGTGAATGTGCTGGCAGGCCGGGCTGTCTGCCTGATCCTCAGCTCTGCTGCCCACAGCGGGAGGTTCACAAGAGCCAGTGGCCCTCCGCCTGTCCTGGCAGACAGACCCATGGACAGTGGTTGGGACCAGCGGCGGCAGCAGCAAGGCTGAGGGCAGACAGAAGTGCGTGGATTGTATCAGAGACGGGGTGGGGCTTGGTCAGACGGGACACACAACAGAGGAGAAATCAAGCTTTAGAAGCAGCTGGTCTCATGGCTGAGGGAGCCTGAGGGGAGCCACGCCTTTGCCTCATCTCCTCGTCTCTAGAGTTGCCTCTCAGCTTCACCTCTGGCCACGCTGCTAATCCCTCCTTCACACAGCAGTCAGAGGGGTCTTTTCTAGAATTCTCAACTTCCAGGGGGGAGACCCGGGTTCAATTCCCGGCCAATGCACCTTATGCGTAGCCACCACCCATCTGTCAGTGGAGGCCTGCGGGTTGCTATGATGCTGAACAGGTTTCAGTGGAGCTTCCATACTAAGATGGATGAGGAAGAAAGGCCTGCTGATCTACTTCTGAAAAACCAGTCAGTGAAAACCCTATGGATCACTGCAGTCCGATCCTGATGTACATGGCATTGCCATGAGTCGGGGCCAACTCAACAGCAGCTAACAACGTCACTCCCTGACTTAAAACCCTCCGCTGGCTTTCACAGCTCCGAGAATAGTGTCCAAAAGCTACTCACTGTGGCTGACAGTCCTCTGTGATCTGGCCCCATCAACCTCTCCGGCCATCCCCACACTCTGTCATATGGCCTTCATAATGGTTCTTTTCTGCCAGCATATCAAGCTGGTTCCTACCACAGGGCCTTTGCACATGCTGTTCTCGCTACCTCAAATCCTCTGCATATTTATAGGGTTAGCGTGTGTGTGTGTGTGTGTGTGTCTGTGTGTGTGTAAGTATCCAGAATGGACTGGAGGAGCTCCCACCTAATTCAGAAAGGCATTTGTTTCTAGGGAGAGGCAATTAAACGGCCCTTCAGCTTCATCTGTGATGTTTTATTAAAAAGGAAAAAGGAAAGGGGGCCACAGATGTGACAAGATGTTAACACGTCTGAAATCCAGGTGGTAGACATGTGCTCTGAGTTATATGACTGTGGGGCTTTCTCGTATTTTCTCCAGAGTAACAGAAAGGGATGCCCGAGGGTGCCCCAGGCCGAGCTCTGGGGTGCATTTTGAGGCCACGGGGCTCTCATCCCCCTGCAAGGCACCCACCCCGCCTCCACGTGCCTGCCCTCGCCCTCGACCCCTCACCTGTCCACAGCAAAGTGCCTGTCCCCGGCAGCCCGGTGCAGCTCGCTGCTGTTCTCCAGCCTGGCCAGCGTGTCCATGCGCTTCACCATCACCTCCAGCAGGTCACTCATCTTGCGGAGCACGCCGCGGGACTCCAGGCCACCCGCCACTGTGGGCAGAGCGTGGGCACAGTCAGGTGTAGGCCTCGGCAGCCTGGGGCCACCCAAGGCCACCTGGTCTCCAGGCTGGGGCAGCGCAGACCCCAAACCCCTTCCAACTTCCCAGACACTCCCCTGGACACAGCAGGGGAGGGGTCGGGATTGTGAGTGCCCCCCACCCCGCCACCCCTGCAGAGAAGCCCCCTCTCCTGCAGAGAAGAGCATCAAGGTGAGCAGACAGCTCCAGGCCAGCCCTGCTGTCAGCCAGCTATGTGACACAGGGTAACTGTCTAGCCTCTCTGGGCCTCAGTTTTGTTGACTGTAAAATGGAGCTGTAGGTGTAATCTCTGAGTTGCTCTGGGCTGTTCCCAGCACTCAGGTCTGTGAGATCGCAGGAGCGCCTTGCAGAGGGACAGGAGCGCCCAAGCCCCCCAACACCAAGCTCCAGGCAGAGCTTCTAGATCATTTACCCACACCAGAATCTGCTGACCAGGCTGTTAAAATTCAGATTCCCAGGCCCCAGCTTGGACCTGCCAATCCAAATATATAGGGCACGGGGCCCAGGAATCTGCACTTTGCTTTCTCTCCTTGCGATCCCGATGCACGGGAGAGGTTGAGAGCCTGCGTCCTAGGGGTTCAGGGCCCAGTCATTGCAGAGAAGCAAGAGAGATGGCGCTGTCCCAGAAGACAGACGGGGTGGGCTGGATGTTGGAGAAAATGGGCGTGGACGGAAGGAAGGCAAGAACACCACCTCTACCCACCCACCCCCAAGAACAGACACGCTGATGGTTTTCCCACTACAGTGCTAGAAATGGGAGGAGATTTAAAAAAAAAAAAAACCAGTTGAGAAGGGAAATTTCAAAAGTTGCATTAAATGAAGCAAATTCTCCTGTCCAGCCTCCGGCCTCTGACCACAGCCCTTCCCCATCTCACGCCCCTGATCCCTGCTGTAGAAAACCAGAATACGTTCGTCCTGAATCTCAAGCTGGCCTGCAGGTTTCCAAAGCTTAACTGTGACAAGGGCAGGACCCTCCCCTGTGGGGCTGAGGCAGCCGCCCTTCCCTCTATTGGGAACAGAGATGCCTGGGGGGGCGGGGGGGTCTGGTGAAGAACAGAATTCAGTGAAAATGAGGCACTCCACCCGAGATTCAGTCACCCGGCCAGAGATTCCCCGCCATTTCCCTTCCGATCAGTCCCCATCATTAGTGCTGTGCGTTCTGGTGTGAGGGAGCCAGCCCTCGCCTCCCTTGGTAATTAAATCTCCTGTTGGTTTTAAGCGGCCCCTGCAAACAGCCATCAGAGGCTCAGCTCTGGGCTCTGAAATCCCCAACTCAGCTCACTGCAACCCCAGACGCCAGTCTCTAAACAACTCGGTCACAAAGGAGCGGAGTGTGCACAGCCGTAAGTGCCCCCTGTGATTCCCGGGCTGGCTGGGCCAGGGGTGGGACACGGGGAAGGGAGACAGGGAGAGGAGGCAGCAAGAAAGGTGGGTCATCAAGCAAGTCACCACCCCAGGCTGCTGGAGCCCAGTCCCGCTGGGGAAATGGGAGCTGGCGGAGGACACGCCTGCGGGGAGGGAGCTGGGGCATTGACACTCTCTCAGTGGTGGGTTGAGGGCTATTCCCAGGAACCACCTGTCTCCAAGGGCAAAGGAGGCTCCCAGGCCAAGAAGCACAAGTGCTGAACTGGAAGTCTGCTCCGTGTGCTTTCAGAATTGTCAGGGCCGAGGGGTACGAGCACGAACACAGCATCCACTTCTCCTCGGAAGAGAAGAGCCAGGGCAGCCCAGCAGGTGCAGAGGAGCAAACGGGGCTGGACACGGGACCTGTGGGCTCTCGCCTGCTCTGCCACCCACCCTCCGTGGAACCATGGGAGCGTCATCATCCGACTGCACTTGGCCTCAGTGTCCCCAGCTCAAGGCAAGAATGCCAGGCCCCGTCTGCAGGCCGGTGGCACCGTGCCAGGCCAGTAGCAGGAGAGAAAGCTTGGTAGCCACTGAGGACAGAGACAGAGGGGGGAGGCAGCAGAAGAGAGGAGGCTGGAGGCTGGTCCCCTCTGCTCCAGGCTTGCGATCTGGCAGAGGAGGGGGACCCAGAGAGGCCCTTGTGTCTGCAGGGCTGCTCGTGACATCTCCACCTTGCTGGCTCCCATCTCCCCTGGCTCCGGGCCCGGTCCAGCTGCTGACAGCAGCTTTTTCACACTGACTTAAGTCACCTCCAGGCCAGCTAAGCCCGCTGGGTCAGGAGGAGCTGCTAGGAGATGGGGAGGCATCACTCACACGCCTTGGAGATGCCAGCTGGGCATCACGTCCAGAGTAGGAGGAGCTGTGGCTTCCTTAAAGACCCAGGGTCCCGGCTCCACAGAGTAGGCATGACTTGGGGGGCTAGGGGGAGTCAGGGTCCCAGCTCCACAGAGTAGGCATGACTTGGGGGGCTAGGGGGAGCCAGGGTCCCAGCTCCACAGAGCGGGCATAGCTGGGGGGTCTAGGGGAAGCCAGGGTCCCAGCTCCACAGAGTGGGCATGGCTAGGGTTGGGGGTGAGCCAGAGTCCTGGCTCCACAGAGCGGGCATGGCTTGCGGGGTTGGGGAGAGAGAGACCACGTTGCCCAAGAAGACCGACAGGTGTGTCGGATGTTGGCGAAATGAGCATGGAAAGGAAGGAAGGAAAGAACACTCTACCCCCCACCCCAGAGCAGACACAACCAAGGGGCTCACCACTGCAATGCTAGGAAAGGGGGGAGATTTTTTGAAAAATCAGCTGGGATTGGGAAATTTCAAAGTAGCATTAAAAAAAGCAAACTTAGTCTCTCCCTCCACTTCGTCCGCCAGCACACACACACTGGATCAGTCATCCATCAATCAATCAAGCAAGAGATAAAACAGCTTCCTCTCTTTCAGCTTCACAGAGCTGGGGGAAGGGTTTACTCTTTCAAACCACCTCCTGTCTGAGGCCGCACCCACGCCCATCCTCTAAGCTCCACACCCACCTTTCAACCAGGGCTTGGAGCACCAGGTGGAAAGAAGAGGGGCCCCCATTGTTTCTGCTAGAAAAATCGGAGGACGTCAGGTGGCTTGGCCAGGCAGCTGCTTTGCACAACTCCGGGGGCGCCACCCATATGGTGGATGCCCGGTGGGCGCACTGGGGCAGTGCCAGGCACAGGCCGTGCGGTCTCACGGGGCAGCCCGGGTGGGTAATCGTGCTCAGCTGTGGCTGGGGTGACCCCTTCCCCAAAGGAGTGGGATGGAACGGGGCAATCGCCCTGAAGTCAGGGCCTGTTAACTGCAGGGAGCGAGGATCCTCAACTGCTCACTCGCTGGAGCAGCAGGCCTGGCCAGACCACGAAGCCCGGTCAGCAGCTCACTCCTGCAAACACGCAGGGCCTAGCTCCAGTATAGCACTGTGCTCCCTGGCTGTGCTGCCGGCCTCCTCCAGGCTCATCCCAGCTCCCTGCCCTCCTCACAGCCTGCGTCCCTCCCTCCAGGCTCATCCCCAGCTCCCTGCCCTCCTCACAGCCTGCACCCCTCC